ATACATGGGATCTTCAAGGCATAATGGAGTTCTTGGGAATATTTGGCTTAACACGTTTCTTGAGCCCCACCGTGGCCAGGCTGGGAGTCCCAGGACGCTGAGTCAGGTGAGAACCAGCCCTCAGGAGAGGTTGTTCCAGGAGAGGAGTCAGAAGTACCCCATCTTCAGGAGAGGACAAAGGCACAGGGTATCGGGTGGCGAGTCCTGTGAGCTGGAGGTCCGTCTTCCCATCTCCTCCTGTCCCCACGGACCCTTCTGAATGAATGCATCTTTGTTTGCAGACGATCTCATCCCCCCGTTGGACCTGCTTGAGATGATCGTCAACTGGATCTTGGAGGACCCCAGGTTGATCCTCATCACCTTCCTGAATACTCCAATTGCTGCCAACCTCCCAATAGGATTTTTAGAGCTCACGCCGCTCACCGGATTGATCCGCTGGTGCGTGAAAGCCCCCCTGGCTCACAAAAGGAAGAAGAAGACCCCCTTAGCCAATGGCCACGTTGCCGCCAAAGTCCCGAAGGCCTTGGGCGGGGCGGACCGGGACCCGCATCTCTTGTACTCCAAGCTGCACCTGAGCGTGCTCCAGGTGCTCCTGATGCTGCAGGTGCATCTGACCGAGAAGAACCTGTACGGCCGCCTGGGGCTCGTCCTCTTTGACCACATGGTCCCGCTGGTGGAGGAGGTGAACAGATTGGCGGACGAACTGAACCCCCTCAACGCCTCCCAGGAGATCGAGCTTGCCCTGGACCGGCTTGCACAGGCTCTGCAGGTGGCCATGGCCTCTGGGGCCCTGCTGTGCACGAGAGGTGGGTGATGGCCCGGTCGGGCCCCCCTGGGGTGGGGGCACCACCCCCTCTGGGGAAGGAAATAGGGGCTCCCTCCCAAAAAAAAAACAAACTAAAAAAGAATTTTTAAAAAAGGAAGCTTGGGGCTCCTGGACAAGGACTTCTTTCCTCTGGTTTTAAGACGTCTTGCCTCTTGGTGACCGCAGGGAGGAGGACAGAAGTCCCAGGGCGCTTCTGGGTAGAATTCCTCACCAAGACATCTGGGTGTCTCCTGGCTGTTTTGCCCAGACCTGGGGCTCCTCCAGAGCGAGGATAATACCAGCTTCATGTCCTTCCTCCAAGGGACTCTTCTTTTCTGCAGTTCTTTTCTATTGCGGCATACTTTACATACGGTGAAATGCACGATGAAGTGCAGGAAACTTTCCCATCACCTGTTCAGAGGGTTCCTGAATTCTGCGTTTCAGTGCTGGAACTCGGCCGGGAGCATGACCTGGTGTTGATGACATGCCCGCCTTTGCTCTATGACCGCTGGCTCTCAGCCCTTGACGGCAGCCCTGCGGGGATCCCAGTGACCCGTGTCCCTCGTATCTCCCTCTTAGCCTTGATCCGCTGTCTCTGGGCCCTTTCCCAGCCATCTGACGGGCTCTCAGCAGAGCCAGCCCCTTTCCTAAGTGATGTCTTCTCTTGGGGACCTGGCGTGTTAAAGCACATACAGAAGAAAAACGAGAACCCGGTTTCTGAGCAGTGATAGATGAGAACAAGGCACTGACTATCCTGCTGGCAGCCTTAAACATCCATGATCTCTCCCCTTGTCATCTCCCGGCTCTTCCTTACTTCTCTGTCCCTTTGATTTCAGATGACCTGAGAACCCTGTGCTCCAGGCTGCCTCATAATAAGTAAGTGCCCTCCCCAGCCTTCTGGCTGGGCTGGCGCGGGGGTGGAGGCAGGGGTGGTGGGGTGTGCAGGGCAGGGTGGACCGCTTTTCCTGGCTTCCTTGGGGAGAGCTGATCTGCAGGGTCTAGGGCTTCTGTGTGTAAGGCACCCCCCCAGGACCTGACAGTCAGCAGGGGGAGGGGGTGGATGTGATCGCGAAACCCACAGGAGAGGAAGCCCCAGCAGAGAGTCCATCGGAAGGGTGAGAAAAGTGGCCCTGTTGCTGGGCGTCAGTGAAGAAGCTGGAGTGTCCTTTGTCATTGTTATTTAGTTGCTCAGTCGTGTCCGACTCTCTGCGACCCCATGGACTGTAGCCTGCCAGGCTCTGTCCATCGGATTCTCCAGGCAAGAACACTGGAGTGGGCAGCCATTCCCTTCTCCAGGGGATCTTACCGGCCCAGGGCTGGAACCTGCATCTCCTGCTAGTCTCGTGCCTTGCAGGCAGATGCTTTACCGTTTGAACCACCATAGGTGTCCTTCACCGCTCACGAGGTCCGCGCGGTTGTGTATCATGCTGTTGTGTCACCATTGGTGACATTATGGTGGCACAGCCCTAGGGAGGCAGGACAGAGATGCGGCCCTGGGGCACAGCGTGTGGGTCAGGCCAGCGCCTTGACGTTGGGCGGCACAGACAGGTTCTGAGTGCAGCTCTGTCTGTGGTTTGCAGTGACGCCAGGCCGCCTTGTCACCTCAGTTCCCCCCTCCGCGCCCCCCCCCACCAGTTGTAAAGTGGGGGCAGTGATTTATGTGCCTCCAGGGTCATAGTGAGGTTTAAAGGAGGTGGCACTGCAGAGTCCCTCATCCACGGCGCACGGCAGTCTCCCCCTCACTGGTGGTTCTTGTCCTGATCTGGGGGGAAGCCGTGGTAAAGGGGTGAGGAGCAGGAACCGCGTGGCCACACAGCTGCTGGTGAGAATCCCAGCCTTGCCACCTCTTATCTGTATGACCTCAGGCACGTTCTCGCTCCCCCCGTTTTCTCTGTAAAACCAAGAAGACCATGGCACCTGCCTCGGGCCCCTCTGCCTCCCATGCCCTGCTCCCCGTCATGGGATTTCTGTGACGATTAATTGAGTAAAAACACAGGAGGCAGAAAGCACCCGAGAAGTGTTGGCTGCTGTCCGTCTCCCATCGCCCGTGTCCCTCAGGTGTTCTGTCAATCAGGCTAATTTCACTGAGTCTAAGAAGCAAAGAACTGTGTGCACAAAACTGTTTGATGCAAAGGCAGTATTACTAGTAGCAAAAAGCTGGAAGCAACCTAGCCCTCTGTTCCGTAGGGACACTTAGCAAATTGGTAATGTTATATCAGAAGCGTGGAACACTGTTCAGTTCAGTTCAGTTCAGTCGTGTCCCAACTCCTTTCGACCCCACGGACTGCAGCACCCGCTTCCCTGTCCATCACCAACTCGCGGAGCTTGCTCCAACTAATGCCCATCAAGGCAGTGATGCCATGCAATCATCTCATCCTCTGTCGTCCCCTTCTCCCGCCTTCAGTCTTTCCCAGCATCAGGATCTCTTCCAGTGAGTCAATTCTTTGCACCAGGTGGCCAAAGTATTGTGCGTCTTCGCTAAAAACAGTGAATGTGTATAGTTGAATGCAGCGTGCAGGTGGGCAGGTTTACAGGAACGAGAACAGCCAAGTTAAGTTAGTTGGATGATTAATATTCTTCTTTCTGAGGGTTTTTAAATATGGAGGAATGTTCCTTCCCCTTGGTTTTTAACACGGATGGTGGGGCTCCAGGGCCGTCGTTGGCAGGCAGTGAGGAAGGACATAGGTGAGCGCGCCCCTCGGCACAGTGCATGCCCAGCCACCCAGGGCCCAACCCACCAGCCCCGCCGGGGCCCAGGAGGGCAGGCAGGTGTGACCAGCTGAGTGCAGGCTGAACTTGAGGCCAAAAGATGGGCCAGGGGCTATTCCCCGGGCTGCTGGCGAGAGGGGCCGGGGGGGTTCCGGGAGGGCGTCTGGGGGTGAAACAGGATGGAATGCAGTGTTTCCTGGGGGAATGAAGTGGTCCCACTGGAGATGCTCCAGCAGCAGAGCAGGGCCGCATGAAAGGTCGGCCCAGCCCCGGGGGACAGGGAAGCTGGGGGGCGTGGAGGGGGCCTAGCAGGCGGGATTCCCTGGCTCTGTGAGACAGTGGAGACCCTGGGCTGAGGCTGGGAGAGCAGAGGTCAGGGGAGCGGGACTGGGGAGGAAGCCTGCGTCCTGAGGAAGGGATTGGTTTTTAGGCTGAGTCCCTGCGGCCAAGCTCGAGGTGGTGAGGAGGTTAAGATGCCCTCCTGATTGTGCTGGGAGGGGAGGGCGGGTCAGACAGGACCAGAGGAAAGAGAGGAAACTCTCCCGGGGGTTCAGAAGGGGCCAGCAGTGGAGGTGACATTGAATTCAGGACGGAGGAGGACTTCCTGGAGGCAGAGGCTGTGGACGTCCTGAACCGCTGAGAGGAGGGTGCAGACCCGGGAGGAAAGGAGTTGGAGAGGGGAGGACTAAGGCTCCTGGGGATGGGAGTGGGATGGAAGGGGGCCCTGAAAGTGGTCGAGGACTGGGTCCAGGCCCAGGCCACCTCTGAGGACACTGGGTGTCAGGGTCACGTCCAAGGCCAGCTGCGTTGTGGCTGTGCTTGGCGTGCAGTTGGGCCTCAGTCGTTCAGAAAGCCTTGGAGACGCGTGGCCCTCCGTCCTTTTTGCTGTGGCTCCTCCATCTCGATGACCCCCCCTGGGTATGGACAGCTGAGGCCGAAACAGACAGTGATCCGTGGTTGTCCCCGAACCACAGACTCCGAGGCCGTGTCCGGAGCTCGTGTGGACCTCAGGGCCCCTGCTCCCCGGCTCTGTGAGCAGGATCCTGGCGTTTCTCACCGTGACCTCTTCCTCTCTGGGCGCCCCCAGTCCACATCCCACCGCCTCCAGGTCAGCCCCTCCGTCCTCCTGGGCACACAGCCTTCCTCACCCAGAAGCCTGGTGCCATCAGCCCGCCTCCTCCCCACAGTGGCCCGCGGCAGGCGGGCAGCACTGTCGGAGTCGGTGCGCCCTAACCCCTCTCCTTGTCTCCACAGCCTGCTCCAGCTGGTGATCTCAGGCCCCGTGCAGCAGTCGCCCCACACGGCGCTCCCCCCCGGGTTCTACCCCCACATCCACACGCCCCCGCTGGGCTACGGGGCCGTGCCAGCCCACCCGGCTGCCCACCCCGCCCTGCCGACGCACCCCGGGCACACCTTCATCTCAGGCATGACCTTCCCGTTCAGGCCCATCCACTAGCCTGGCTCCGTGAACCACCAAGTTGGCACCATGCCTTCCACGCCTGGTTTGGAGGAATCCTTCCCGGGAGAGGGCAGTGAGCGGAGAGGAGGCCGTGTGGGTGGCCAGGCGGCCCCTCCTCACCACAGGACCCGGTCGGTGCCAGAGTTCGGTGACATTGGCATCTAGGCGCCTCCTCCCTGTCAACATCCATAAAAGTCCAAATGCGACCAACGAAAGGAAAATCATCCAGCCCTCTGCGGAGCCACGCAGGCACCTTTAGAAGCTGCCGGGACTGTGAGCCTGTGGTCCGGCGTGTTGTTGCAGACACCCCCCCGAACCTGTGCCCAGGGGCGTGGATGGGGGACCAGCGTCGCCAAGTCCGCCTGCCTGGCTTCCATCCCTGGGCATGGGCTGCGTCCCACCGAGACACAGGCCACGCCCGCAGCTCAGGGAGCACAAGGCTGCACCTCTGGCATCGCGGGCTTGCACCCAGCACTTGGTACAGGTCAGCGAATCCTGCAAGCGTGGCCCCCCGCACCGAGGAAAGGAACTGCTGTTTTAATGGGTTCCCTAAAGTTCCTTTTCGTATGCTCAAATAAAATTTTTCTAAACCGTTTCATAGACCATGACCATTATGGAATGTGTTTTAAAACTTACTAGCCGGGCCCTTCGGAAGTGTCCTTCCCAGTCTGCTGAGACCCTGGTCAGAAGACCAGATACCATTCTAGCCGCTCCTGTTGCCAGAAGCGCCACAGATGCTCCTCACCCTGTGCAGAGCGCAGTCACAAGTCCTTTCTGCCCTCAGGGACAAAACACAGGCCTCACTTACTGGTTTGGGGAGGAGGGATAGAGACTCAGGAACCCCGTTGCTGGGCTCCCCTAGGCCGAAGGTGAGGCGTGAGGCGGTTACAGCGAACAGCAAGCACTGAGGGCTAAGATCAGCTCGTAGGGATGAGATTTAACCTTGTGGTGGTTTACCCTGCTACTTCTGGCTGCAGACCAGACCCTGGAAGGCCAGACGAGACCAGGTTTTGTGTGTGTGTGTGTGTGTGTGTGTGTCCAGACCTGGAAGGCCAGACGAGACCAGGTTTTGTGTGTGTGTGTGTCTGTGTGTCTGTCTGTGTGTCTGTCTGTCTGTGTGTGTGTATCTGTCTGTTTGTCTGTCTGTCTGTGTCGTTTGGAGTGTGAGGCATCCCTCAGGGTAGCACGGTTGCACTGTAGGGCCCGTCCTTGGTTGTGAGTCCACGATGTGGGTGACCATGACCATGAGTGCTGTCTCAGGGACGTGAGCTCTAGGCCCTCGTGGGCCCCAGAAGTGCTCAGTCAGGCTCCCACCGCCCTAGCCATGTGTAGGAGCCAGTCTGCAAGCAAAGCCGAGCAGGACTCTGCTTTTAAATTGCTTTTGAGAGCCATGAACTAGAGAAGGAGATGTCCTTTCCTTTGATTTCATTATCCTCATGTTTTCTGTTTATGGACAAATCTGATGTCAAAGCAGGAGCTGAAGTCAAGTGTCTGCTTCCATCTGTCTCGGTGGGACACATCCACGGGACTAAGATTAGCACTCACTGGTTCTTGGTGTTAACTCTGGTACCGAGTGTTTCTGAAAAGGGTGCAAAAGGGGCTCTCCTATCGCTTCCTGATTAGAGGGTCTCTGAACCTGGCTGTGTCCCAGAAGGTGGTCGTCACTATTTATCTCCAGGGCTACATAGTCTCAGCTCCACTCAGACTTCAGGTGATTTTGCAAAAAAAAGAAAAAATGTAGGAAACGAAGCCACTGGAGCCACAGATTCCTTCTGTGGTATTTTTAGCAGTATGTGGGCAATTAAAAATGCTGGACCTCCTGTTACGTAATTATGTGCCAGGCACTTGCACCTTTTTTTTTTTAATAATGGTGTTTTACATCCATTAAAAATTGATATATAAGAAAACATTAGGCAACAGAGGAAACAAGCTGTATCTACACAGAATGTATAAGAAACTACCCATTGAGCCAAAGACATTCCAATTTTTAAATTGAGTGAAGGGAATGAACAGAAAATTCATAGAAAAGAGGGGCTTCCCTGGCGGTCCAGGGGTTAAGACTCCACACTTCCACTTTTTGATCCCTGTCAGTTCAAAGATCTGCCATAGCCAGATAAATAAAGTCTAATAAATAAGTGTATTTTTAAAATGATATACACTAAACCAAAAACAGTGGAAACCTCTGGGGAAGATAGTGGACATGGGGTGATAGCCAAAGGAGGCCTTTCCTTGTCTATATAGTTTTAAAGTTTCAATTTTTATTTTTTAACTCAATTTTAAAAAATATTCTGAGTCATAATGAAGGACAAGACTGAATCAGTCGCTGACTCGCATAAGTAAAAGAAGCCTGGGTCTGGCGTACGTCCCAGCCAATAACCGCACACAGTTTATGTTTTTATAAGGATGCTGTATTCACATGTTACTTGTCTAATTACACGTAAATTTTTAAAGTGCATTTTAGAACTTCTATTTCTGGTAGTGACGGTTAGATTTTTCAGCCAACCCTTCTGCTTCAATTAAAAACACTGGATAACATACAATGACCTACAGACAAACTAGCAGGTTATAAAGAACATCCAGCTCAGGGGCTTCCCTGGTGGCTCAGTGGTGAAGAATCCACCTGCCAATGCAGGAGACGGGTTCGATCCCCAGTCTGGGAAGGTCCCACCTGCCGTGGAGCAAGTAAGCCTGTGCGTCTCAACTATTAAGCCTGCGCTCTGGAGTCCAGGAACCGCAACTGCTGAGCTTAAGCGCCCCAACTACTGAAGCCCTGGCACCTAGAGCCCGTGCTCCACAACAGGAGAAGCCAGCGCAGTGCGAAGCCCGGGCGCTGAGACTGGGGGGAGCCCCCGCTCACCGCAACTAGTGAAAGTCCACGTGCAGCAACAAAGACAGCACCGCCAGAGACAAGGTATCCAGGTCACATGGTAACGAAAGCAGGTAAGCTGCACAAAGGCACTTGTGCCCCTGAGGCCCGCAAGGATGAAGGGTTCAAAGTGGGATCTACTAGGAGACCCACTCTCCATTTTGCTGGAACCCCCAGGATATACTTTGAAGAAGAGCAGAAGACGGCAGGGAAGGTTGCCCTGGCGCTGAGCGGAGCCTGGGAAAAGCCAAAGGGAAGTCTGGTTCCTAAGAAGTGAGGGGCGGGGGCAAGTCCTCACCCCAGGTTGACAGCACTGGTTACCCCAGGACACTGCCTGCTGTGACCTCAGTCCTTGGGGGTTCCTGGACTTGCAGTCCTCCCAGGTGCCCGGGAGGAGCAAACACACATTCTCTGGAGGAAAGTCACTCATCCTAGGCTCAACCCACGAATGACTGTCCGAGGAGACCGACTGATGTCCAGTGAGAAATGAGCAGGTGCCAAGGGTGGGGACCTGCAAAGATGCACCTGACAGAAATGGGTTCAAAAAGTCTTCCAGTGTCACAGCTGTCAAGAGCTGGACTAAAACAGTCATGGTTAATGGCATAAAAGACAAGTGAGAAACTACAGGGGGAAATTACTGGGTAATTGTGAATTACCTAGAAGATGCAAAAACAAAAAGGTAGAACTTCTAGAAATGAAAAGTAGAGACTTCCCTGGTCGTCTGGTGGCTAAGACTCCACATTCCCAGTGCAGGAGACCCAGGTTCAATCCCTGGTCAGGGAACTAGATCCCGCATAAAGTTCGCATATACTGCAGCTAGAAGATCCTGCAGGCCATAGTGAAGACCCGCAAGATGTAACAAGACCCGGCGCAGCCAAATTAATTAATTTTAGAAAAATGGAAAGTATAATAGCTACTGAGTTCATTGGAGCTGATGGGAATGCAAAATGGTACAACCACTTTGGAAAGAAATCGTGATATTTAGCAAAATTACATATGCGTTTGCCCTTTGACCCAGGAACCTCCTTCTCAATCCAATGGCAAAAATAGGAGACAATACACATACGAGGCTTTTCATTGCAGCATGATGTGTAACAGCAAAAGATGAAAAACTTGCCATGAGTCTATTAACATGATGTTTTAGCCACAGGGAAGAGTATTATGGTACTGTTTTTTGAGGTTTGTTTTTAACATCTTCTCCTAGGGAGTGACTGCTAGGATTTATTAAGCAAAATGAAAGAAGGAAGGTCCAGAAAAGTGTGTATCACATGCTACCTTTTACAAAAGGAAGGAGGTGGGGAACATGTAAATTGAAATGAAGGAAAGATAAAGGAAAAACTAATAATTGTAGCTGAGGGGAAGGAGGAGGAGCAGGGTGAAGTGACACATGTGAAGCTAGACTGCCGAATGTACCTTGTTTTCTTTGACTTTGGGGCCGTGTAAATAATTAACTTCATTAAGTCAGGGAGAAACATAAAGCAAACTGAAGCAGTGAGATTAATTTGTAACTGAATCGCTTGCATCAGTATTTTAGGGACTTCCCTGGCAGTCCAGTGGTTAAGACTCTGGGCTTCCACTGCCTGGGTCACAGGTTCAATCCCTGGTCAGGGAACTAAGATCCTCCATGCCTCACAAGATGGCCTAAAAGTTAAAAAAAAAAAAAACAGATAAATTAAAGTACAGTATTTTAATTATACCTATGCCTTCTTCAGGGCTTCCCAAATAGTGCTAGTAGTAAAGAATCTGCCTGCCAATACAGGAGACATAAGAGACGTGGGTTCAATCCCTGGGTTGGGCAGATCCCCTGGAGGAGGAAATGGCATCCCACTCCAGTATTCTTGCCTGGAGAATCCCATGGACAGAAGAACCTGATGGGCTACAGTCCACGGGGTCACGAAGAGATGGACACGACTGAGTGTCTGAGCACATGCCTCCTTCAACTTATGAAATCCTGTTCAATGTCATTTAATTTTTTAAGGCAAAGCAATGAGGTCATTTTTGCCCATCATATTGTCAGCTGTTAAATAAGTGTGGCAAGCAAGCATCTGCTCTGGTCTTTGTCACTAAGTCGTGTCTGGCTCATTGTGACCCCAGGGACTGTAGCCTGCCAGGTTCTTCTGTCCATGGAGTTTTCTGGGCAAGAATTCTGGAGTGGGTTGCCATTTCCTTCTCCAGGGGATCTTCCTAACCCAGGGATCAAGCCCACATTTCCTGCATTGGCAAGCGGATTCTTTACCACTAGCCACCAGGGAAGTTGGAGCAGGTGTATGTGGCAGAATTATTAGCCATTGCCTTCCGGTATTCTTGGCCAGAGAATCCCATGGACAGAAGAGCCTGGTGGGTTACAGTCCATGGGATCTCAAAGAATCAGACACAACTGAATGACTAATACCAGCCATCTGGGCTTCTCAGGTGGCGCTAATGGTAAAGAATCTGCTTGTCAATGCAGGAGACAAAAGAGAAGAGGGTTTGATTCCTAGGTCAGGAAGATCCCCTGGAGTAGGAAATGGCAACCCACTCCAGTATTCTTGCCTGGAAAATTCCATGGGCAGAAGAGCCTGGGGGGCTACCGTCCATGGGATAGCAAAGAGTCAGACAGGACTGAACGACTGGACACAGCCAGTTATCTGTCTCCTTGATAAAGGACCTCTTTGGGGGCAGATGTTTGACAGGCAGCCCCTCCAGGGAAGCTGGGCTCCTCCTTTGGAGTGGACTGTGTGTGCGTGTATGCTAAGTCCCTTGAATGGTCAGCACTCTGCTTTCACAGCTGTGGGCTCAGGTTCAGTCCCAGGTCACGGAGAAAAAAAAAGAGCAAGTTGTTGCAAGTCAATGTGCATATTAGGATCTTGACTGTGTAAACACATTGTGAATAAATACCAATACATTCTAGTTATGATGGATCTGTTGTTTCTGTCCATCCACAATTCAGCCCCCCTTTCCTGCTGGTGATAGCATCCTGACTTCACCCCTGAGGCCCTGGCTCCATCCTTGACCCAGGCCTGGCCCAACTGAGCCCTGCAGCCCCCGTGGTGGTTGGCCCGAAGGTCAACCCATGAACCAATGAACCCTAATGAAACCCAACTCTAAGATCTGAGCCAGAGCTGGCATAATCCTGGGATCAATAAGCCAAAGGCAGGGAGAGTCCATCCTGAAAGCAAGGGGGATTTAATGACCACACACATGATCAAACAGCCCAGGGTCACCCAGCATCCTAGGAAATCCTCCAACAGAAGAAATGACACAGACACATTAAAAAAAAAAAAAAAACTGGAGCAAACAAAGATGACAGAAGGAGCAGGGACAAACTTCACTGTCCTCAGAGAGATATGAGCAAGTACTGGAATCGTGAAACAAGAACAGCACACAAGAGAAAAGCAATAGCTTGAGAATAAGAAAGCTCTGGGAAACAGAAGACAGAATACCAGAAATAAAAGCATTCAACTGAAAGCTTAGAAGAAAATGAAGAGAAAATCCTCCAGAAAGTATACTGAGAGGTTAAGTGATGAAAAATGGAAGAGAAGTTGAAATGACGAGAGGAGTGGCACAGAGGGTCCAATGTCTGAAAAAAATCAAAATTCTAGAAAAGGACAAAAGAAAAAGAAGGGGAACATGATCAAAGAAATTACTCAAATTCACTTCTTGGAACAGATAAACATGAGGTTCCAGATGGAAGTGGCTGCCTGAGTCTCCACAAGGGAATTTCAGAGTACAGGTTTTAAAAAAATATGTACAAGCTTCCAGAGAGAAAACTAGTGGAAGACATGGCAACCCACTCCAGTGTTCTCGCCAGGAAAACCCCACAGACAGAGGAGCCTGGTAGTCTATGGTCTATGCAGTCCCAAAGGATCAGACACAACTGGGCGACTGAGCACACAGCACAGAGAGAAAATATACGTGCAAAGGATCGGGTATCAAAATGGCCCTGGACATCCACAGTAGCAATACTGGAAGCCAAAAAGCAATGAAGAGGAGACTGACTCCCCCAGTGGTCCAGCAGTTGACTCTGCTCCCAAAGAGGGGGGCCCAGGTCCATCCTTGATCAGGGAACTAGATCCTGAATGCTGCAACTAAGTCCAGCACACACCACCCTGGCCTCATAGGCTGGCCTCACGTTTGGACGTTCCCAGACCACCTGCACTTCCGACCGGCTGACTACAAAATCAGGATTCCTGTGACCTACTTGGGTTCGTTAATGCGTTAGATCAACTCACAGAATTCAGGAAAGCACTTATACTGATGACGGTCTGAGTGCGTGTCTGTGTGTTCAGTGGTGTCCGACTCTTTGCGGCCCCATGGACTGTAGCCCGCCAGACTCCTCTGTTCATGGGATTTCCCAGGCAAGACTACTGGAGTGGGCAGCCATTCCCTTGTTCAGGAGATCTTCTCGACCCAGGGATTGAACCTGGATCTCCCGCGCTGCAGGAGAATTCTTTAGCATCTGAGCCACCAGAGTTTGAAGCTCTCACCCAGAAAACAGGATAAAGACCAGGCGAATGATTAGACAACAGGAGGATGGGAGGGAAAGTATGCACGTCTCTGTGTGGTGTCAACAGTTTAACCTGCATCTTCCAGAGTGGGATGTCAATAGATATGATCTAAACTGGAAAAAGCAAGTGAGAGCATTAAAAGCGTATTATTTAGAAATATGGCAGGAGATATCTGAAGAAATGGGAGTGGACTCACAAGTGAGGAGAAACTTTTCTTGTTGATGCAGATTTTGTAGAACTATTTGACTTACTCAACTTGGTATACATGTTACCTTGATTTAAAAAATCTCTCCCAGGCAGGAGAAGGGGCACGCCTGCCCCGGGCAGGGGGGGGGGCGGTGCGTGTTTTTAAGATGAGAGAGCCGTGGGAATGAGCAAGTGCTGTCAGAAAGAAGCCGGAGGAAGGGGGAGGTTAAAAATTCGGGGTGGGAGGAGTGGATCCTCTGGGCGTGAGGTCTCCCAGGAGGCAGAAGGAGGCAGAAACAGCTCTGCTCTCAACTCTCCCAGGCAGGAGAAGGGGCACGCCTGCCCCGGGCAGGAGAGAGCCAGTTCATTCATCCCCAGACACCCGGCTAGTGGGGTGCGGTCCCACTGTCCGGAAGGAAGGCCATAATTCGCCTCCTAACACAACTGAAAGAGCCCCTCTTGGGAACCCAGATTTTTCCGCCTCCAAAGATGGGCTCTTGCTGCACTGTTTGTCTACGGAGGCAGATGCGGTGAGGCAGATGCGGTCCCTGCCCTCCGGAGCACCTCATCTGGGGTGAAGCTGCCAGACAGTGCATGCGGTTCAGCCAAGGGCGAGAGGGGAAGCCCCAATCTCCACTCCCAAAGAGCCTGGAAGAATCCAAAGTCGGAACAAGGGGGCCAAGGGGTGGCAGCTGTGTGAGCCTGGAGACAGCAAGGGGGGAGGGGCTGTGACCACAGGAGGACCCCTGACCCCTCCAGTGGGGCACCGCCGTGCTCCGGCCAGAAGGAGCTCTCTGCGGCCAGTGCTTTGGGTTTTCAGAGAACTGGAGCATCCTGATGTCAGCGTCAGCCCATCTCCAGATGAGAGAGAACAGAGTAGCAAAGGGATGTGGAGACAGAGGGACCCTTCCTGACCAGCGGGGAAAGCGGCTGGGCACGACCAGGGAGGCCCGCTGCCCCAAGCGGCTAAGGACGGGGCTGGGGAGGGCGCAGGGTGGGGCGGCAAGGGGGCCTGGCCACCGGGCGGTGCGCACCGCGCAGGGGCGCAGACAGAGCCAAGCTCAGCTCTCCAGTTGGCCAGGGTGGCCCCTACGGCCCCATCTGGTCCTTTGGGGTCCACGCCCACCTGACTGCCGGCCACAGCTCCCCGCGCCCCCAGGTCCATCCTCTCCACTCCAGGATCCAGGACATGGGTCCAGGGGGTCGAAGGAGAGGCCTTTCTAGGGTGTGCGCAGCGGCCCGGGATGGGGCTTCGTGAACCGCGCGTCACCTAACTGAGTGCGACCTGAGCCCCGTTGTCCCGGAGCCGTGCCTGCCCTTCAGCGGGCTGCGGAGCCCGGCTGGGAGCCTCCCCCGCACTCGCGCGGCGACAGTCGCCAACCCGGGCGCGCGGACGCGCACACACGGGGATGCTGCGGGGCGCATTGCGCCCGGTCCCGGCGCCCCCGGCTCGCGCCCCCCGCGCGGGGGTGAGTGGCCGGGCCGGGAAGGGTTAAGCCCACCGAGCTCGCGGCGGCCTAGAGCGGCGGCGGCGGCGGGGGCCGGGGCGCGGGGGACAGGATGTGGATGCCGGGGGGACTTCCTGTGCCGGCCCCCGCCGCCCCCGNGGAACCAAGCTCTCTGGGATAAAGCCCTTGCTGAGCTGATAAGGACCACCACACAGTCGCTGGAGAGGGGCGTGTGGACTGGGGCCTGACACTCGACCCTAGGGAACGACCGAGGGGAGGTGGGCCCCCGAACCCCAGGGTGGGAGGCTGGAACGACGGCTCGCGGGGGGGGGGGGGGGGGGGGCGGGGAACGGGACGCTGGAGAGAGGCCGGGAACTCTGCAGACCTCAGAATCGCTGGGGCACAGGGCCAGGCCCACAGCCCTCCAGCTGCAGGGCTTGCAGTGCTCTGGGAACTGAGGTGGCACCTGGACGGACTCACATGGCCCAGAACTGGCAGTCTGCTGGTGGCCTGGGAAGACTGGGCGAATCCCCAGAGCAGCTTGGGAGGCAAGAGACCAGGGAATTGAACAAACTTGTCCGTGCTTTGAGGGGGCCAGGGGAATGTGAGATGGAGACAGACAAACGAGTCTTTTTTCCTGTAAACTTCCCCAAATGTCCATCATCTCTCATCATCGGTGATAGGCAGCTGCGAGGGCTGCCCCAGGCGGGAGGCTAAACGTGGGCCCTGCGCTAAGTCAGGAGAGTCAGGACTGCCTGTGCAGGCAGCCGGCCCTGGGAGCAGGGCCTCCAGGCCGCCCTTGCTCGTCCCTTTCCCGGTCGTGGACCACACCGTCCTCCTTCCCGGGAGGGGTGAGCTGCCGACTCCGGGACAGCGAGGCGTCAGGACCCCTGGGCCGGGGCTCCCCGCTGGTCTGAACAGCTTCCTTCCTTCCCCTCAGCACAGCCAGCTCCCCAGGATCTTGGTCTGACCGCCAGGATGAAGGTGAGGCGGGCAACCAAGACCTTCGTGCGGAAGCCTCACCGTCTTAAAGATGGGAGCCTGGGACCCGACACCCCCTCAGGTAAGGGGCTAAGGGAGGGCATCTCTGACCTCCTGAACCAGGAGATGGTCCTCAGGTCCCTGGCGAGGATCCTTTGACAAAGCCCCAGGCCTGCTGAGAGGGAGCCCTGAAGGCTGGCCAGCAGCCCGCTGCCTGGGCCCACCTCGGCAGGGTCACCTCAGGGTCTCCTGAGGCCACCNAGCCCGCTGCCTGGGCCCACCTCGGCAGGGTCACCTCAGGGTCTCCTGAGGCCACCGTCGGGCTGCAGCGTTGCCGGTGAGGGCTGCCTGGCGGTGCACACGTTCTCAGCCCCCGTCCCCACCTGGATGCGTGCTGACTGAGCCCCGCTGCTGTTTCCCCAGGGCTCACAGGACCTCCGTCTCCTCCCTCTCTCATCCCTGACTCTGGACTCAAGGTCCCAGATTGAATTCAGGGGCTAAGGGACACCCTTGTCACTGGCCGTGGGGCTTTGCTTTTCTCTGGGGCCTCTAGTCTTGTCTGCTTTTCCTTGACTTCTGCCTGCTTCCATCCATCTTTCTCTCCTTTTTCCCAGAGGCAAATGTGGCCTTGCAGAACCTTCCAAGACCCCCCTCTATCCCTACTCTTGGCAAATCTTCCAAGGCGGCCATGCTCACGGGAGCCAACTCCCCACTTTGTGCGTTGAGAGCGCTGAGTGAGGGGCTGGGCAGGGTTGAACAGAACATGAAAAGACCAAAGGAACTGGAGGCATTGAGTGGGGATGTGTGGACTCAACTAGGACCCTTGGCCTTCCACCACACCACACCCCGCCACCACCCCTGCCCCCCCCACCGCCAGCTTCCCCATGTGGCTTGTGAGATCGGAGTTCCCTGACCAGGGATCGAACCCACAGCCTCTACAGTAAGAGCTCGGAGTCCTAACCACTGGACCACCAGGGAATTCCCAGGACTCTTTTGGCTTAAATACTCAACTGACAAAAATCTCACTAGAGCAGACACATCAGATGACACTTCAGTATACATTTACCCAAATATCGTTGTTAACAGTGTGCAAATGCTGTGAGAAGCAGGGAGTGGTCGTTTGGCCAAGCACCCTCCTAGAAGTGAGAGGACCTACCCAGAGGGGTGATGAGTCCTGCCTGCCCCCAGAGGTGGTAGGACAAGGGAGTGCCCACGTGACCTTGGATTTGCTGAGACAACAGTTTGTCTGTGATGGTCTGTCTTCTCTCACTTCCCACATACTCCCACCTGTTGTGAGTGTGTAAGAAAAACACACTTACTGATCCATTAACCTAAGCGAAGGGTCTTGGGAATAAGTTTTCTAAAAGGGAATTATTTACATGTAGATATCCCTTGATTTTATGGAATCAGTATATTCCTGGAAAATCAGCCAGAAAGCAAAATTGGGTCAACCAAACCTCTGCTTTCCATCCCAAAGTTGAAAATATGATGCTATGGGAAAAACAGATGTTGAATCAGACTTGGGAATGGAGAAGGCCTCTTTGGATTTTCAGATAGCACAGCACTATGCTCAGAGTGAGAAACTGCATGTGGATTTTGTGACATGTAGCAACGAGATGAGTCCTGCATAGCTGAGCTTCCGCTATGTCGTGCACTGAGCTGGGGCTGTGTGTTTATCCCCTCTAATTTTTCAAAATTTCCCCAAAAGGGGTTTAGCTCCTTTAAGCAGATGGGGAAACTGAGGTTCCCAGGGATTAAGTAACTGGCCAGTTGCCATGTAGACTTGGGGCTGTCAGTTGTTCCTTTCCATCTGAGAATTAACAGTCTAAAACCACTTCCAGCCTCGGACTTCCCTGGCGGTCTAGTGGTTGAGACTCCACATTTCTAATGCAGGGGACTCGGGTTCCACTCCTGGTCGGGGAACTAAGATCCCACAAGCTGAGTGGTGCAGCCAAAAAACAAATGAACAAGCAGGCCACTTTCAATCTAAAGGCTGTTTCAGATGGAGCTAGTTGTATCCTTGGTATTCATATTTCCAAACTGCTTGCTGATTTTCAAACTAATTCCTAACCCACAGCTAGAGGGATTTTTCAAGCACCTACTAGGGGTGATGCCGGGGCCCTTCCTGCTTCACTCACTAAGCTGGCAGTGTGGGGATGACAAAGGTATGTTCCAGATGAGAAGGGCCCTGAACCTGCAGGAGGTTAACCAGCTGCTACCTGGTAGAATTATTGGGCACCTCCCACCTGGAAACCTCGTGTTCTCTCTGACTTTGGTGATTTTTAGAAACTGCGGTGGAAACACTTCCAGGCAGCCTGACAGAAATTCTTTATTGTGTACAGAGAGGGTGAATTTCATTTGTTTCAAGTATGACCCCTAACTGAAGTCAGAGTCCAGCATGGGCTTGTGGTTTAGCTGTGGGAATGGCAGGTTCACAGATTCCTCTCGGATGGCGGTTAGGCCCAAAGGACTTTTCAGGGAGTGGTGTTGGTGAGCCCCAGGCACGCAGGGCGGTGTCACTGGCAAGGTCTAAGCATCAAGCCTGTGTGGAAGAAGGCCCCGAGGAAAGGTCGGGGGCCTGGGGTCCAGAGTGATGTGACCAGCTCGCTGTCCCTTGGATGCATTTCTAAGCCAACTCCACACTGCTGGGCATTTCCCTTTCTATCACGCTGCCGTTGTCACAAGGTCCCGTGTTTGGGGGTCCCTGCTGAGGGCTCAGGAGCTTATCGTAGAGTGACTGTACATGGGGAAGGGGAAGGAAGGACGTCACGGGAGTCTGAACCAGAGAGCTGACTCCAGGTGTTTCTCTCTTGGCTTTCTGCTGTTCCCGCTCAGGTGGCAGCGGTGGGAGTGTGAGTCAGGAGGGAGAAAATGGTCAGGAGAGGAGCAGCAGCCCACCGCGGCCAGCAGTCTCAGCTCCCAAGCGGGCCAGTGAGGTCGCTGAGGAGACCGTGTCGGGACGGCAGACGCTGCACGCCCAACAGTCAGAACAGCCGCCGGAGCAGCGGCCACAGCGGCAGCCACACAAGCAAGGGTCAAGACCTCAGCCAGAGCCGCAGCGGCAGCAGGATGGGCGAGAGCCGCTGCCCCAGCCGCAGCCAGAACTGCAGGAAGAGCCCCGGTCTGTGCCACAGGGGCCGCTGAAACCGCGGCTGCGGCTGATGCCGCGGCAGAAACCGTCACGGGAGCAGCACAGGCAGGTGCGACGGCGGTCACGGCTGCGGCAGGAACGGTTCCAGCGGCAGGAACTGCAGGAAAAGCCCATGTGTGTGCCGTATGAGCCGCAGAGGCAGCTGCAGGAACAATCAGAGGAGGGGGCTGTGCAGGAACAGCCGCTGCCACAGCTGCGGCAGGAGCTGCAACAGGACCTGCAGCAGGGATGGCCGCAGCTGCCGCAGCAAGAGGCACAACCGCTGCAGCCAGCAGTCCAGCAGCCTCCGCAGCCACAGCAGCAGGAGCCGTTACAGCCCCAGCAGGAGCAGCTGCAGCCACAGCAGGAGTCACTGCACCCGCAGCAGGAACAGCCCCAGCACCAAGAACAGCCGCAGCTGCGGGAACAGCTGCAGCCGCCGCAGGAACAGCTGCAGCCGCAGCAGGAGCACTTGCAGCTGCAGCAGCAGCTGCAGAAGCAGCAGGAACAGCTGGAGCTGCTGCAGCAGCAGCAAGAACAGCTGGAGCTGCTGCTGCAGCAGCTGCAGCCCCGGCCCCTGGGGCCGGAGGAGGAGGAGGAGGTGGAGCTGGAGCTCATGCCGGTGGACATGGAGTCCGATCAGGAGCTGGAGCGGCAGCGGCAGGAGCTGGAGCGGCAGCAGGAGCAGCGGCAGCTGCAGCTCCAGCTGCAGGAGCAGTTGCAGCAGCTGGAGAAGCAACTGGAGCAGCAGCTGGCACAGCCGCCGGAGGTGCAGCTGGAGCTGACGCCGGTGGAGCCCGGGGTCTGCGGGGAGTGCGGCAAGGGCTTCAGCCGCAGCACGGACCTGGTGCGGCACCAGGCCACGCACACCGGCGAGCGGCCGCACCGCTGCGGGGAGTGCGGCAAGAGCTTCTCGCAGCACTCGAACCTGGTGACGCACCAGCGCATCCACACGGGCGAGAAGCCCTACGCGTGCCCGTACTGCGCCAAGCGCTTCAGCGAGAGCTCGGCGCTGGTGCAGCACCAGCGCACGCACACGGGCGAGCGGCCCTACGCCTGCGGCGACTGCGGCAAGCGCTTCAGCGTCTCGTCCAACCTGCTGCGCCACCGCCGCACGCACTCGGGCGAGCGGCCCTACGCCTGCGAGGACTGCGGCGAGCGCTTCCGCCACAAGGTTCAGATCCGCCGCCACGAGCGCCAGCTGCACGGCGCCGGCCGCTCCCGGGGTCTCGGCCTGCTTCGCAGCTCGCGCACGGCTGCCGGGGGCACCCCGCGCGCCGAGCCGGCGGCGGACAAGGCGCCCTGACCCGGGGTCTGGGCTGGGGACGGGGCGCCGAGGTCGGGGAGGGCGCAGCTTCCCCCGCACCCGGGAGCACCGCGCGCGCTTGGAAGTTTTGACCGTGTTCCGCAACATCCTGGAATATCGCTGGGACATCGCTGGCATCCTTTTCCCGGGCCAACTGAGTGACGGACCGATTCACCCTCGGAAACACTCCAGGGAGGAAATCGACGAGGCTAAAGCGGCACGGAGGTGGCACATTGCCGCCCACAGCACATAGTTCAGGGTCATCTTTGGGTACCAATTTTCTCCCCCAGGGAAATTGGACTTGACTGGAGCTGAGAGTCACAGGGGAAAACACCCAACGGCAGGACGAGACGTTGGGTGCCATTTGGCAGAGCTCCAACACTAACCAGGGAAGCCGACATACGTGGTGTAACGCACGTGAAAGAGTCCTGGTGAAAATTATTTCATGGGGGAAGAGGAAATTTATCTGCACTACGTAGAAAACTGATCAAGGCGTTCAGTTGTCCTCAGTGGCTTTTGCCTTGAAAATACTTACGCGAATGAAAGTTCATCAGGGTGGATGAAATCCTGATGTAAATGTTTTGTGTTCGTGAACACAGGGTCCCAGCGTCCGCTGGGTCAATGTGCAAAGGCCAGGAAGTCCACTCTGGGCGCAGATGAAACCTTCCCTCCAGGGTCACACCCAAGCAAGCTTCGAGGCAGGCGCTGGGGTATTCCCAGGCTCACAGTCCATCCCTAAATCCTCTTGAATAGAAGCCGGGGGCGGAAGCAGAGGGCATTCTGCGAGTGCTGTCCAAGGTCCTAAGGGCTGGTCCTTCCATCTCTCCCACAGACCTCCCGTAGCCGCGCCCTGCCTTGCTTTCTCAGAAGCCAGTGCACCCACTGCGGCTTAGGGGCTGGGACCTTGAGATGCAGGGCAGGTTCTCCCAGGCCAGGCCGTGCAGAGGGCCGTCCCGAGCAGACCCTGCCTCGTCACCGGGGGTCAGAGGGAGAACGCTGAGGACAAGGACAGGAGGCAACAGAAATGCTCTTTATGGCGGTTTTGTAAACGTCTGGGGGTCGGTCGGAGCAGCGGCAATCTCGATGTCTGTGGGGGGCAGGATGATGTGGGGGCACCTGACTCTGCTGGTCCTGGCTCTTCCTGCCCCCGACTCCCCCACGTGGCTCCTTAGACGCTGCCTGACCCCCTTCCTGCTTCTCCTTTACTAACACAGCCTGCTCCGTTTTGCCAACGTGTTGGTAAGTGAGAAACAAAATAAACAAAAATGAGGAAATACATTGTCCTGTCTTTGTGTTTTCACCTCTGGATTTTACGGGGCTTCACTTTGTCACATTTTCCCCATTGCTCTAGAAGCAGACAACTTCGTATTCAGACCCATGCCCAGCTCTGCACCCCAGACCCTTCTTTCCAGCCTGAGATTCTTGGCCAGGGATGGGCTTACGAAGTACAACTCCCCTGGGAGGGGTGGGGACCAGAAGGTGGATGCTGGAGGAAGCCGGTTTTGGCGTCTCCTCCGGACAAGGTTTGAAGCCGTCCAGTCCAATCGTAGTGTGGACTGCCGTGACAGTGGCGAGTGTGCTGGTTCACCTGAAGGGGTGTCGTGAGGACTGAGGCCTCTCCTGGCCCTGAAAGTCTCTGGCTCTAAGACTCAACAGTCAAATGCTCTCAGATGCCTTTTTACCATCTTTGTCTCCCCTTGTCATCCAGCTTTTGCACTCAACCGTCCCGCCCTCAGCTCTTCTTTGCTGGATGACCCTGGGGGCTGCTGAAGCCTCTTGACCCACGTATGCAGAGAGCTGGATGTACCTGGGGATTGCCTCCCCCACGGTGGCTCTTGGCCCGTGAGAGACAGGTATGGGGGGACGCTGCAAGCCAAGGTCCTCCCCCTTCCAGCCCACACTGCTCGGGGGCGTGGATCATGGCCAAGCGTGTCTGGGATCTCATCCAAGCATCTCTGCAGGGTTTGCCTTGAGACTCTCCCTTACTCTGCTTCCTCTCCTTTCCGGTTTTATTTCCTTTACTCAGATACCCGCTGGGAGCAGGGCCTTAATAAATCACTCACGCCTAAGTCCTTGTTTCCAGGTCTGCTCATCAGGAGCCCACCTTAAGATTGATGGTGTTGATGGTGGTCTTAGGAAGTGGAGTCTAAGGTGGGGACCGAGGGCTTGGGCCACTCCCCCATCGCAGCAACAGTCTCTCCCTGTTGTGTGACTCCTGGCTGCTATCATTATGGACAGGACAGGATACCAGGTGAGAGGGGCTGCCCCAGCTCATGTGGCATCTTGAGGACTTGGGAGATGCGAGAGAATGGTTATTCTAGGGACTGTGGGATCGGTTGGTTTTGCTGAGCACCACTGAAGCCATGACGTGGCTGAAAGTGGGGCTCGGGATCACAGTCACCAGCTGAAAGGCCCAGAGAGGCAGTCAGGAGGCCTCCGTGCCGTAAAGAAGCTCAGCTCCTCCTGCCAAGGACCGACTACCGAAGACCAGGCCCGGGGCCTGCGGCAAGAGGAAGGAAACTTCTGGATAGGATTGGGGATGTCCTTGAGCACACACTCCCTTCGACTCTCGGGACTTGCCTGGTGGTCCAGTGGTTAAGAATCCACCTGGTAATGCAGGGGACACAGGTTTGATCCCTGGTCAGGTAATTTAAGATCCCCTACGCCATGGAGCAACTAAGCCTGCATGCTGTAACTCCTGAAGCCTGTGTGCCGCAACTAGAGAGTCTGGAAGCTGCAACGAAAGGTTCTGCACGGTGCTGCAAAAAAGACCTGCTGCAGCAAAGAAAGAAAATGTAGTTTAAAAGCATCAGCTGTGCCTCTTACCTTGTCCAGAGATGGTTGAGGCAGGTGTTTTTCAAGACACTACTTGCCCTCCTATAATGAGGTCCTAGCCCCAGCATGGCTTGGCTAGGGCAGTGCTGGCTCTGCCAAGAGAGGGGAGGGGTTATTTGCCAAAGGAGCTGCAAGTCCTGGCTAATACCTCCTGGCAGGAACCAGGGAAGTACGCTTGGGAGTGGGTCTGGAAGGTGAGGGGCTGGGAGTGGGTGGTATTTTAGGCTGGAGATTAAGACATGCTCCTGGGGCTTCCCTGGTAGCTCAGAGGTAAAGAATCCGCCTGGCAATGCAGGGGGCATGGGTTCAATCCCTGGGTCGGGAAGGTCCGACATGCCGCAGACCTACTGAGCGCATGCACCACAATTATTGAACCTGTGCTCCAGAGCCCGGGAGCCACAACTACTGAGACTCAAGCATGCTAGAGCCCTTGCTCCCCAACAAGAGAAGCCGCCGCAATGAGAAGCCCGGGCACTGCAGCTGGAGTAGCCCCCATTCAGCACAACTAGAGAAAAGCCCGTGCAGCTTTGTTAAGACCCAGCACAGCCCAAAATAAATGAAATACAGAGACATGCTTCTGTGTCCTCTTGGGCCTGAGCAGGAGCCCCAGGAAATTTGCCTCGCGGTTCTTACCTCCTCCTTCTGACTTGGTGACAAACTTCCAGAGGTGATGCAAGTGTGTGCAGGACCAATGCCACATGTATGGTACCTTGGGACATATTTTAAAATGTGTCCCTCTTCCCAGTGGCGATAACCCACTCCAGGTCCACGGCTTTGTAGCAGGGAGGCAGGCTCCCTCAGAGCCTTGGTCCTGGCGAGGGCTCCACCCCGCCTCCTCCGGGCATTTTCAGCCACCAAATCGAGTGGTTCTTTGTCCTGAGTCAGCCTTTACCGGGTTCTGTCCTGAGCCCTAACCCTAGCGCTAACCCTAAGTCATGGGGGAGCTCTGCTTTTTTGGATTTATATCACGTTTTATCTGTTCTGTGCTGGTAGCCAGGTAGATGTGACTAATTCATGTGTGTTGAGAGATATCAAGGGAAAATTAAAGACAAGAATGTTAAGGAGATTGACTTGGAGAGTGTTTGTGACGGAGCTCAGACCTGACAAGGCTGGCTCATCAAGTGAAAAAAAATGCAGTGGGAAAAAATTTACCCACCCCCCCGAACTACTGAATATAATTAGTCTCAACTTTTCATATAATGATCATATCTGCAAGGATTTGCAAAAGATAGGGAGAGGGTTGTTTCTATGAGGGGGTTGGGAAAGGGCTCAAGGTTTTATCTATTTTGGGCACTTGTGTGAGACAGAGGCGCTCAGTATGAAGTCCTTCCTGTCTCTTTGGGATGTGTTAGTCACATTAACAGCAGTAGGGCAGACTGTCATTTTTCTTTCTTAGCAACCAGGTCAATATCTCTCTGGACTGACCCTGGGCTGTACTTATGCCATATCAGGGACTGACTGGATAAGCCCAGAAGTCTCTGGTAAAATGGAGACTCTCCAGGGAGTAAGGTAAAGTCGAATCTATAAAACAGAAAATAGTTCAACCCTTAGTATTGTCTTTGCTTCCTTTGAGTCATCTTGGCATCTTTTAGAAACTAGTGATGGTCCTCTGGTGAGGACTTGGGAATTGGAATTCTGGCTGCCAGTTACTACGTGACAACTTCCCTTGCCTGTAACAAGGAAGCCAGAATATCCATTGTTCCTCGTTATTGTATGTCAAACAGGTAAAATAATGCATGCAGATGAACCTGACATACACTAGGCACTCGGAATATATTTGTTGCATCTAAAGCAAGACACCAACACATACTCTTTCCTCTGGTTGGATTTTCTATGAGATAAGGCTTTCTACTATCCCAAGATTTGAAAGTTTAGACATTGTAGAGATGAAGACTTTGTGAGGCCCCCAGATGGTAGAAGGCCATAGTGATGCCCTTAGGCTTCTCCCTTGCAGGTCGAGTCTGGCAGGCTGCCACGTGACTCTATCCAAGGTGGTGACATCAGCCACCACCCAGGTATCTCCCCGAAGCTCTGAACCTGAGGATTCACTGGTCTCCTAGACTTGAATGTTCCAAAGATCTAAGGCTCAACTAGTCCACATGGAACCCTNGCAGGTCGAGTCTGGTAGGCTCCCACGTGACTCTATCCAAGGTGGTGACATCAGC